TTTCATGCTTTGTAGATTGTTTGTTCCCAGCCTTATATTAAACCAGTCACCCCTGATGTTATTGTTTAAATCCCCAAACAGTGGGGTCTTGGCATGCTGTTCACACTCAGAATCTTGTGCAGATTTTCCTTGATTTCTCATTTATGTCTAAGTTCTTGCTCCTTTGCCATACTTTTACTGTGAACCTGCCTTCATTTAGCCTCTCTCCCAGAGACCTCTAGCTTCCCTCTGCTACTGCATTTCCCATGTACACCTTAGGTTATGTGGCACCTGGTCATTTCCATAAACAACTGATCTGGTAAGCATTCTTGGCACATTCCCTTAGGACAGTGTCCTGCAAATCTCACCTTAGTTTTACAACAGGGCCAGTTATCTTCCTCAGCCTCACAGACCTTAGACTCAAATAAGTTAAGTGTCAGAGTGAGACAACTCCCTTCTTTGGAAGGGCCTCACACTGAGCTCACAGCAAAGCTTACACAAAAGCCTATCATGGGTCTTAACATATGTGACAGAATGTATGAAATCCAGTAAGGGGGTATGAAGGATTAGATGAAGGAGGGGGTATAAAGATGATTGAGATGTTTTGTATGAAATGCACAAAAATTCAATATAAAATGTACACTGAAAAAAAAGCCTATCACTTTAGCTGGATTCCTTCTTGGAAAGTTTAATCTGAAAGAGGTATTCTAAGAAGAAGCTCCTTTTCTTAAAATATCAAAGAACTGAAAACCAGAAGATGATAGATCTTTCTAGAGACACACTGCAAAGTGTAAATAAAATCTTCCAAGAGTACACAGAATTATTATAAAGAATTCATTTCTGCTGCAGTAGTCCACCACCTTCAATATTACATTTAGCTAACTTAATTTTCCATGGATCAAATTTATTCAAAGTGAAATTTCTCTTAATAGGTCATCTGAGTAAACAATTTCAAGTGTTATTTACCAAGCAAACAATATGTTTCCAGGTTTCAGATGAAATCAGCAGTGTCAAGCTAAGAAAATAGCCTTTACAATTCACAGAGGGCTGGAACAATTGCACAAAAAATTGGAGTCTGGGGGTCAGTCCTCTCGTGTGGTTCTGGAGGTTAAAAAAAATGATGATACCTTTCCACTAAAACAAGCAGAAAAGAAATATGCCATTTTTGTTAAAACAAAGATGTCTAAAATAATACATCCTTAAAGTAGCAGGTGTCATGTAAACAGTAAGACGCCCAGTGCTGCCTCTCCAGTCACATATAACACTGCCATTTCATAAGAGCCTCCTGTACACTAGCCTTCTCCTGTCCTATGAACTGGGTGCTCTGGGGTGTTGCCTTTCAGGGAAAGGGAGAATCAAACAGGGATGCAGAAGAATGGGAGGGGAGGGAGAGACGAAGGAAAGGGGAGATGGAGAGGAAAAAGGGAGAAGAGAAAGGTCGAGAGGGTGTGAACTATGCAAATGCAAAGCAATTATTAAGGGAAACTACCAAGGGAAATTATTAAGGACTGTCTTGGAGTGGGAGTTTTGTCAGTCTCTATTCTGGAAAGTCTCCGAATTACGGAATTTTTGCAATAGAAGGGATGACAGCTGAAGTTCTATTTCATAGTTAGGAAATGAACATCTGAGAAACCAACCGGCCCCATGACCTCAGTAGGAAATTCACCTAAAACAGATTCCATCTCTAGACCCTGAGTCAATAGCCTTCCTCTAACAGCATCTAAAACCAGGGGTTCCAAGTCTTGGAACAGAAGACTGTGGCACATAAGTGGTAACAGACTGCTCTTTAGGACAAGGGTTACATTAATTCCTGCCTATGACCTTGACACCATGGCTAACATGGCCACAGCTCAAGTAGCACCCAGCATACTCAAATTCCTATGCAAACAATCACCCCTCCAAGCACAGAGAGAACCCTGATCCATGGTCTCTGTCAGTGAATGGTTGCTACTGGCATCACAAATAGGAAGGGAGAGAGTCCAGAAACCACAGGCTCCTTTCCTAGCCCCTACATTAAGACTTCTGAGAGCAGACACCACTGTATTCAGCCAGCACAATGACAGGCACTGTGTTCAGAGCCTCTCAAAGGAAACTGGACAATGACTGGTGAATGGATTTGCCATAACTCACTCCAGCTGAGTCTACCCACTCAACAAGTCAGAGGTAGAGAAAGATGAACACAGTAGCCCCTTCCTTTACCCACAGTTTCACATTCCTTTGTTTCCTGCAGTCAACCACAAATAAAAAATATTGAATGGCAAATTCCAGACATGAACAATTCATAACTTTTAATATAGCATATTATTGTTTTTGCTTTATTTTATTATTTATTATTGCTAATCTCTATTAAATGCACATATAAGAAAAAAATAGTATAGAAAGGGTTCAGTATTAACTGTGGTTTCAGACATCCTCTAGTTCTGCTATAAATCCCCTAGAACAGCAGATGACAGCACTGCTAAAGCAATAATACTAAGTCAATGCCTTATGAGTGATTGGGCTTTCAATTTTTGTTTCATAAAATCTGCTCATCCTGGGAAGAGTATTGAGGCAGTTAGGGTTATGTGTGTCACAGGCATGTTTCAATCACATCTGTTAGTCTCAGGTGGTCAGCAGATCTTCAAAGCTTGTCTGAGAGGTGATGGTAACTGATTCTCTAGAACAACTAGAGAGTGTCAGTTGTTACAGGACTAGCCAGGGTATCTCTTGTGGAGAGTGGCTGAAGAATGTGAGGCTAGGAATCTCACACCAGCACTCACTTGGAATAGGGAGATGGGTACCTCCTAGCAGGCAATCAGAAGTCCACAAGTCAATTCCTACTAGACAACTACCAAACAAGGAACCCTAAACTGTACATATTTTATTACTTCATTGCCGACTCTCATAGCAATTGTGAAAGGTCAAGACAATTATCACATTTCAGAGGATTAAGAGAGTCTGGATTATTTTTTATTTTTTAATTATTTTTATTTTATGTGTATGTGTGTATTGCCTGCATGTAGATAAGTACACCCATGTTGTGCGATGCCCACGGAGGACAGAAGAGACTGTCGGATCCCCTGGAACTGGAGTTACAGACAGTTGTTAGCTGCCACATGGGTGCTGGGATTCAAACCTGGGTCTTCTGCAAGAACAACCAATGTTCTTAACCACTGAGCCATCTCTCCAGCCCCCAAGAGAATCTGATTTTGTTGAACAAATCCCAGAATTTCTAAGCCAGAATTCAAACCTAGGTGTGACTACAAGATCCAGGCTGGAGATGGGGATCTTGGATGCGCATATCCACTCTTCATTCTTGAGATGTCTGCAAGGAAGCTTAGAAAGACGGGAGATGTGTCCAGAGACAACTGGAAGTTGCAAATCTGCCTGTTCAACAGTCCTTTCTCTGCTGATGAAAGTGCTCTAGGACCTCTTCTGTCCAGTTATACTAGCTATTAGTCACATATAATTATGGATACCTGACACATGGTTAATGCAACTGAACATCTATGTGTTTAATTTGGATTCATTTGCTTTAGATTGTCATTGAATTTTACCATAGAGGGTACACGTAGAGATATTTCATGCCAAGAGCTTTCGGGCAAAGAAGTGGTCCCCACAGTTTGGGTGGGCCAAGCAGGCTTCTTAAAGTATGAAGATTTTGACATAATAGGGCTTGAATAGGCCTCTTTCTGCTTCAGGCATGCTCATCTTCCCTACAGAGCTTGGTTCAAAGTCAAGGGCCTCCAAAATGAAGCCTGGTCCCTTTAGTCTACAGAGGAGAAAAACAAGTTCGAATTCTGGTTCTATATTCTTTTTTAATTACTATTTTTAATGTCTTGTTAGAAAATATTATGTAAAAATAGCTTTCATTACATTTTCATACATGAACACAGTGACCTGCTCTACACAGCATGCCTGAGGTCTTCTTCACTTCTCCCATTTTCCTCCTGAAGCCTTTCCTCTCTCCTTCTCTGTACCCTCCCCTACCAACTCCAGGAGGGTCTAGATTTTTCCTTTGTATCAACCTAGACATTTTCATTGCTACCTACGAAGTTGAGTCATTTCTGCTCTTGAAATGGCTTTCAATGTACCTGAAGTTTCTACACCTACATCTGTGAGAAAGGCGTGGCCTAATACAGTGAGCAACGCCACTCACAGACAGACAACAACAGGAAACAGAATCCCCTCATTGCCACTGGTTCTGCATGTAGACAAACAACACAGGGTACTCTTCACCATGTCATGTCTGACTCCATTCTTTCTGCCCCAATGGTAATGGGCTTTCTAACACTGTCTCCTGTTATTCTATGTTCCACATACCATCAGCCTATTAATTTGAGAAATATGTTGAAAACAATGAATGACTGTCAGAAAATATCACCAAGGAATTCTTGGCATAGATTTCTCTCCTGTCTGCTCATGCCAGTCCTTGGTAAGTCTGTGCTTCTCAGGTCACACATGACTGTTCACTCAGTGATGGCATTCAAACTCTTTATGGTCTCTTTCATTTCTAATTAATGATATTTTCATGTGCTTTACTGACCTTCAAAATTTTACTTGTGAACATTTAATAACAGCCTCAGGTGATCCTTGAGTTCTCCAACTTGAGGACTGCTGCTTATATAGCGTTTTTGCAGGCAGAGATATAAATACCTGGTTTTGAATCTTTCTAAAGAAAGAACTTGATTGTTGATGTTCTTAGTATGATAGGGAAAGGCCCATCTACTAATCTTCCTAAGAAAGAATAGACATACAACTTATTGAATAGTCTTCTATATAATGCCTTTGAGGAAGTAATGAAAGCTGTTTCTACCCATCCATGATAGAGCTAGAGATGAGGTAGGTCTTTGGTATGAGATCTTCATGTTTTTAAACTCCAGAGTTCTTGAAAGAATCAAACATGAAGCCACCTTTGTACCCGAAATATCCTTAAAATAGCTCTAGGTTGGAACTCGAAGAAGAGGAATGGCACCCAGCACATCTTCAACCATAAACAAAGAAAATGACAGCCACCAGCAGTGTACAGTCATCACTTTTACCTGGTTCAGTGCAGTTCTTGCTGCTCCAGAGTCCTGCATCTTCAGAAGTCAGAGTGTCATTCACCTGCATCAGCTTCCTCCCCACCATCCATTTTCTGTCTTCCCCAATGAGGTCCATGAGGTCAAGCTCTGGGGAGAAAAAGATAATCAATACACATCACCAAGAGCTGAGTGTCAGCCTTTACCCATGTTGGGGGCCTGTGCCTTAATTAGTCACCATTTTACTCTGCTTTGCCTAGATGTCTCATTTGCCTTGGATCTAAATGCTTAAGGGCATCCTCTAACTGTTGAATCCCACTTGTCTCAACTAAAGTAGCCTTCAAGCCAATGATAGGTAGATACATGCATATAAATACATCATTGCTTGAGAAGGATGACTGTGAGACAGGTATTCTAAACTGGATTCTAGAATTTCCTACAGTGGGAATAAACTGTTGCTTACAGTATAACTCTCAATAAATTAGAGTAATGGCTGTCCAGGCTCTGTCTCAACCCACCCAATGACCTGTTAAGAAACGTTCAACAACAAATGCGAGTGGAGGAGGCAGTCCAGACTTGTAACCATTGACGAGTTTCCATGGCACCAAGACTCACATGAGGGCCAACTTCAAGCTACTAATACACCATCATTAAGACCGGAACTGGGAAGACATGGGAACAATCAACTCCACTGAGTCGGTATCTGTTGGTTTAACCTAACAATTTCTATAATCCCCCCTAATATTTACTTGAACCACCTCACATAAACCAACTGCTATTGAATATATGCTTAAGATCTGCCTCTTGGGGGTTACCCAACCTAAAACACCATTTCACCATCCTCAAAGCATAGGGAAGTGAGGGAACCCAGCAGAAGGTTTAAGAAAACAAAGGATGAAGAAAAAATAGACTATAAAAAACATGTTAGAGGATGAGCATAAAATGGTGCCCAGGTCTCTGGCTGAGATGATTATGAGGATGAAAGTGTCAAGATAAAGAACAGAGAGGAAATGGCATATGAGGGGAGAACATGTTCCATTCTGTTTAGGACATGTTGAGTTTGAAGATTCTCCAGATAAGATAATCAGAAGGGAATCATATAGCTTCTGGGTAATATCTCAGGCAAGAGAGTCAATACACAAGGCAGCCCAGGAGAGAACAAAATAAATAGAAAAGGCTGTGAGACACAGTCCAGGCCTGTATGTTTAATGTCTATATGGAGACTCCATTAATACATCTGTATGTGGATGACTAATGAGAAGAAATAGAAGAAAATATGTGGGAGCCTAACAGTTCCCCACAGAACAGGTGAGTAAAGTAGTTCAACAAAGGATCATGAGAAGAAAGGAAAGAAGAGGGGAGCATGGTGCCATGGAAGGTAGGAAGAAAGAGACTCCAAGGAACATCAGTCAACAGCCTTGAACGCCGTGGGCAAATCCAGCAAGACAAACACAGAGAATGGTAGTTGGAGATTGGGATGAGGGGTCAGTGGGAGATGGACATGGTCAACCAATGTGACTCTTCCTAGAACTTGGCAGTATGGAAAGGAATTCTGTGAAGCCATGACTACCTTTTGAACAGCTGTGGTTAGAAAAATGAATCTAAATACAAAACAATGGTATAATCCGTGGGTCCACTGGCCTTCACACAAGACCATGGGATGCATCCAACCTCACCAACATGGTGTCCTGAAGAGGTCAAAGCAGAACCGATGGCCACCATATCCTCATTTCTATTCATACAGTGATTCAAGATTTTCTGAGTAATTCCACATTCATTACTGAGTTTTGTCTTCACAACATTACATGGGAAAGAAGAGTATGAGCATTATCTTCCCAACACCTAACTGGCATCAGATTACAGGGGATGCTCCGCAAATACAAGTTGAAATTACTATTCCCACTTTATCAGTGGATAAGTTTAGCGTCCTGGGCATTTCAAGAAATTTCAATGCTTGTGTGCACTTCACTTCAAACAGTCCTTAACAGTATCAGCAGTTCATTCATTAATGTTTCCCTCAAATACTCCTGAATCTAAAATTATCAAGGTATAAAATTAAAGCTTAGACATATGACCAGAATAGCACTGCTAGTCAAAGAAAGGGTAGAACAGCACAATAAACAATCATTTCAACTCTAAAATATAAAAGCCTTTATGGTAGCCACGTGTAGTAACTTGGCTGAAATTTCCAGAACAATATTTGAGGAAGAGCACAAGTTTGAGCAATTCATCTGTGTCGTTTCATTAACCTAAATGATCCGTCTTATGACTGAGATTATGGCAATCAGAGAAAACATTTCCAAAACCTCATGAAGAAACAGTAAAGTCAGTGACCTTGAGCTCCAACAAGCAATCCTAAAGTGTGAATATACACCATATGCACCAAATCTGAACACCCCTGGCTTATAAGAAATGTGATCCCAGAAATAATATACCAAATAATATACCAAATAATATACCAAGCTAGTTGCCCAAAGGAGAACTTGGCCCCTCTCAAAAGCTCTAAGGAGCCAGAGTAAATACATCTCAGACATATACAGGGTAAGGGAGCTTGGGGATTGGTCCACCCACACCTCAACTACCACAGGTTGAAGGCTATTCCCAGATATATTAATACTGTAGATTTTCTTTAGATTTATTTTTTTTGGTGTGTGTGTGTGCGTGCATATGTGTGTGTGTGTGTGTGTGTGTGTGTGTGTGTGT